ACCCAAATCTAATGTAAAGAGCCCTTCCCCCACCTCCCCACCATCCCTTCTCAAGTATTTGTCGGCTGTAATCAGGTTTCCCCTCAGCCTCCTCTTCTCCAGGCTAAACAGCCCCAACTCCCTCAGCCGCTCCTCATAAGTTTTATTTTCCAGCCCCTTGACCAGTTTAGTCGCCCTTCTTTGGACTCGCTCGAGGAGCTCAATATCTCTCTTAAAGCGAGGGGCCCAAAACTGGACACAATATTCCAGGTGCGGCCTCACCAGTGCCGAGTACAGGGGCAGGATCACTTCCCTGCTCCTGCTGGTCACACTATTCTTGATACACGCCAGTATCCCATTGGCCTTTTTGGCCACCTGGGCACACTGCTGGCTCATATCAAGCCGTATTTAATATGCTTTTTTTTTTTTTTTTTGGCTGATGTATCTGGACAATGTAGTTTGTTTAAGTTTTGTGGGGTTTGCAGTAACTTGCAAAATTACTAAAAAAGAAAACACAGAAGGCATGGCAAATATTATTCTAGGAGGTTTCAGACATATTAACTCTCTTTAATGAAAGGTGGATACCACATTTAGGTTTTGCTGAACGAAATTCCTTACATGGAAACAGGGTAGGCTAGTTAAAAAAATGTGTTTTGAGAATTGGTCTCCTGTAGCTACTTTCTCATCTGAAGGAGTTTACTAGTACTCCTGTGAACTTGTTAAAATCCTTTTTTCATATGGGGATATGCGTTATTTTATGTCTTTTCAACGTAGACAAGTTTGTTCTGTATTGTGGAGGATGAGAAGGCATTCCATCTAGCTTGTCTGCAAAGTAGGTTTTTTTACATGATAGATTGTATAGTGATTCTTGGTAAAATGATGCCTAGATATCAAGTCAAGAGTGTTAGCTGCCTCTAGAGCAATGTCTGGTTTATGTGTGGTGTCCCAGCAGTATATCTGGAGAGATGAAAGAATCTGCAGATTTGTATGTAAAATCTTTATAAAGAAAGTGATCACTCCTTTTATTGTGTAGAGAGAATATATGTTTAATATTGACAAGAACCGAGAGAGGTCGTGTGTGTGTGCTTGTACAGAACCTATTCTGGCCTATTTCAGGTCACAATAATTGAGCAATATTTAAACCTCGTCTTAAAGAACTGGTTGTATAGTGTCTCGTTTTTCAGTGATTTGGTGCTTGGGCAAATGAACTTTACAATGATTTTTGGACAGCCGTCAATAAATCATACAGATTTTTTTGTGTTTGGTTGGAGTTTTTTTGGAAAAGGTGGTATTTAAAACGAAGCAACATGCCCAGAGTTTAGTAGTTGGCTGTTATGTCACCCATCTGAGATTGTAAGGAAACAACTCCCCTCTTTCACCTGATTTCAGCTAAGGTGGTTGTGAAACCACCAGTATTTCTGAGATCTATTTTAAAAAGTGAAAATGTTCACTTGGTGTTTATGTTTGCATTGATATTGGCAAAGTTTTTCTTGATCCTGCTGTATAAATGTCATTTGTGTCATGGAACGCCATCTGCTGGGCAGTGTTATGGGTACATGTGAGAGACATAAAACCTGCCTGTGAGAGTAGTAAATCCTAAAATAAGACTACTTAGGAATTTTTTTATTAAGATGTTGAACTAAAAATACTTTATTAGCATTTCAGTATGTTTTTTCAAAGGAGTGAAAACAACCATACTCATTAACGTTTAAATATTGTGGCCTTACGCTCAAAGCTGGATCTGGAGAAGAGCTGTTGAGTGGGTTTTTTTTTATTTTTTTTTTTTCCCCAGTGTTAAATAAATTTTTGATCGTATTTTAGGGAAATATAAATGATTGTAATGGTAGTTGTCTTTGGCTGATTTTAACACTATGTTATTAAAATAATTTGTTTAAACAAATAGAAATAGGTGGACTGACTTATAAAGTTTACAAATTCAAGTTAGGAAATGGCAAAATGAAGCTAGCTAGCTAGCACAACTTTATTTCATCCTTTAAGCGTAGGCTTTAAGATAATTTTAATTTCCTGTTCAGATACTAGTTTGTGTCAGGGACACTCCTCCCTGGCTGCCTCAGTGCACAGGATTGACTGATCTGAAGATGAAGCAGACGCACACACGTATATTTTGCTGTGCATCTGAAACAGAGATACGAGGCAGTCTGCTGTGTGAAGTTGTTCTTGCAGCATTAGAATTGGAAGATAATGACGAGTGAATCGAGAAATCAGAGAGAGAATAGGGCAGTTTCATGGGAAAGGCAGGTGACTGTTGAATGTGTTCTGCAGTGCTTGCTAATCACTTGTTCCTCATGCCCTAGATGACTGAAACTGTATAACTTCCACAACTTGGGATGTGAAAGCAAAAATTGAAAAACTCCTTTTGGTAGCAGGATGACTGATGCTTATGTGTTAGGACTAAGGCTGGAGCTCGCTGGGCCAGCCGTACTGCTCAATTTTTTTCTGTTTAAACCAGCTCTAGACAAGTACCAGACACTGTGCAAGTGGGCTTCGTGAAACTTCTTGACGACAGGGAGATGACAAGATTTAGTCTGTTTCTACTTCAGACTCTGGGGAGAGAGGAGGAGTGCTGTTCAGAAGACAAAAGCCTTTTGCCCTCTTATAACGTAGGCCTGATTTCCTTCCTTTCCTCCCCCCTTTCTTTCCAATTTGAAGCCTACATTGTCTCTGCCTGCGGCTTTAATCCTACTTGTTCTTTTTGCGGGCATGCTGATCTGGTTGCTGCTTCTTCCCCTCTGCTATAGGAAGATATTACATGCGCAACCCTGTTGCGCACAGGATGTGTGAGGGGATGGAGCATTTTTAGTTACTTCAGGGGTACGATGTGTGAATTTTCTGTTCAGCACTTGGAGCTGCAAGGGTGATGGAGTATGCTCTGTGTTACAGGTCGTCTTGATATTTTTTTTAACAATCTGTTTCAGTAAACACATGAGAAAAAATAAACAAATCTCTAAGCTCTATGGTTTTACTGAATTTCTGGTGAAATTTTCACAGAAACAATGGAAGTTTCTGTTCCTAGAAATTAACATCTTATATTAGGCAGTAGTCTGTATTAAGAGATGAGGCTATTAAAGTAAGAAACATTTGGTGTTTATTTTTACAATGTTACCAAATGGCATATATTGTCCTATATTCAGTCTTAGAAACAACTGCAGTGCTTAAGTAGAATGCCTTCCTTTAAGACCTGGGTTTGCCACATGGCATGTAGACTACAGATGAGATAGTTGATAGCAAGCAAATTTATTTAAAAAACAAAACAACCACAAAAAACAAACAAAAACAACAAAAAAACACAACCATAGCAACCTAGTGGGAGAGCATCTTTCACTGGAATGTATAATGCATATTAAAAGTAGTGTTACTTATGATCTTCAGAATATAAAAATGAAACCTAGAACAGAGGTTGCAACCTCTGTGGTTTGTACCACAAAAGAGGCAGCACAGCTTCTTAATTTTCACTTGTGTGCTTAAGTTGAGATTTTTTAAAGGTAATTTTGGAAGGTAGAAACGTTAAAGTTTGTGCAGTCCCCGTGAAATTCAGTGGTACTCTTGCATGTAATTCTGTCAATCTTTAAGAAGGGTGAACCCCTTTAGTACTTGATGTGAGCATTTCTTCCTAACCTTAAGTAACTGGCACTTTCATTCTGGAGAAGGAATTATTGACAGGGTGATTTTGTATTTATATTGGACATTAAAGAAATTCAGTGATTCTCGCTCTGAGCAATGATGAGGTAAAAACAGTACCTGAATTACAGGCCAGAAGGTTCATTTTTGGACATTTAGCTGCTAACAGGAATATTAAATGGTGAAACTACCTGTGAACCTAATGTCTTCAGTGCATTGCCTAAACAAAGAAGTCTAATCCTTGTGCTATCTCTGAGAATTAAATACTACTCTCAGGAGCTAAGTGTTGGTGTCTTTGCTGTTTGAATACTTCAGATGGAGGCTTCATATGTGTTTTAAATGTTTTCTAGTGATGAGTGGGTGGCATTTTCTCTGAAATTTAAAACAATACATCCAAAGTATGGATAGAATTTAGCAGCTCACATAGTTTGAGGCAGGAATATATTCCAGTGTGTCTATGTAGCTTATCGTTGACCTTATGTTCTTCACAAGGAAAAAATCCAACTGCTGAGTTCTCCACAGTTTCTCATATAATTTTTGTCTGGGTCAGATCATTGGGCTTTTACTATTACTATTCTGATTGACCATAGTATCTGAGGAGGCCATCTGAGGAGGCCAAGTGGGGAAAAAAACCTTTGCTCTGTTAAAGATAGGTGTCTATACAAGGCAGTAATGGCTTGAAGCATTCATGACAGTTTAATTGATATTATACCTTAGCTTTACTTGTAATTGTAGAAACAAATTAATCCTGATGTTTGTGGTACTTGAACCACACATCTGTCCAATGTTATTCTCTCCGTGATGAAATCTGATTATGGGCTCCCTTTGTTCTCTGTTAAACCCAGGATAATTTGCTTTCGTTTTAGTTAATTCCTAGCAAAACCAATCTGTGTCATAAGAGCAAATTATACTTGGCTATCAAGATCAAAACGTGAAAGGTATTGGGGAGGGTGTTAGTTTTGAGTTTTTTTTTTTTCATTTTGATTTTTTTGAAATCACTATTCAGCACACTACATATAAAATGCTTGTGCAATAGTGTAGTTATGGCCTTGATTGGGTGAAGGTGTGGGATAATGACGTAAAAGTAGTAAGAATTTTGTATTGCAGGGGTAAAACATTTTATTAATGGGACTGTTAAATAACTCCTTTTTCATTTAACTCAAAGTGTGAAGGTGGAGAGACTGAGACTGTTGATGTTGTGAGGGAATACTGCTGAAGAAACTTTCAGAACTTGAAGTTTGATAATTAAAGTGAACCAAAACTTCTTAGGCTTTTAGCACAATGCTACCCTCTAGTGGAACAGTGTTGCATTAAAAAAGTCCAGCATTCTTTGTGAGCGGCAAGGTTTTAATTATTATTGTTAATAATGCTATGCAGTATATATGGGTACTTGTATAGCAATAACAAGGTAGAAAAAAATTTGAGGAAGCCACCTCTATCATCTATGATAATGAAAATGTGATCTATAATGAAAATGCATATTTCTTACTCTGATCATTCCAACTCGTTGCTTTTCATAAGGTGAATCAGAATTTGTCATTGAGTAGCAATTCATACGGGGTTAATAGGATTTCATTCCAGTATCCTTTTTTAAGTCAGTAGCGTTTTGTGCGATTCAGAAAGGTATGCTATCTAAATCCTTGTCACACGTTGTTCAGGTGCTGCTTTTAGTTGGTTGTTTGCTTTTGTTCCCTCCTTCTAAGTGAACCTCTCCAGAGCATGTTTTCTTCTCAAAACCTGTGATCGAGTGCCTGTTAGGAACATGTGTCCGAAGAGATTTTATAAGTTAACCTATTGTTTTTTCAGGTACTTGAGTTTGCCCTTATTTTACTTAAAGAATTCAGTATTCTAATTTTGGGAAAGCAGTGTCTTTTAGAGACATAGATATATTTTAAAAGTGAGTTTTGTGAGAGCTGCACAAGTCAGAGGTGGCTGGCTCCTTTTGGTTGTTGAGAGGCAATAGCAACAAATAAGCCTTTTATATAAAAAAAAGTGCATTTATTGCTGGTTTAAAGCAATTTTATTTATTTACAGGTGTCAGCTGTGATGCATGTTTAAAAGGAAATTTCCGAGGTCGCCGATACAAGTGTTTAATCTGCTACGATTACGATCTGTGTGCAGCTTGTTATGAAAGTGGTGCAACAACAACAAGGCATACAACTGACCACCCAATGCAGTGCATACTAACAAGAGTAGATTTTGGTAAGTGATAACTTCAAACTCTAGTAATTTGCTGTGTGTACAAACATGATACAGATCTTCATGTTTCTTTCTTATTAATCTCTTCTCCTATTGGTATATTGAAAATAAGAACAAGTTCTCATCTTCTAAAAAAACTGGCATGTTTTCTCTGATTTTAGCATACAAGAACTGATGTATATGTATTTTTTTTAATTGGTGCGTATGTATTAATCTTTTTTATGTTGGTCTGTTAACGGCAGATTATCAGACTAATAAATATACTTAATAGCAATGACTACTTCTAATTAATTTACAGTTCAGAAGATGTGACAACCTTCTGCCCATAGTATGCTTTACTTGAGTTCTACAGTGCACAAGAGAAAAAAATCCTGATGAGATTTTGTAGGATTGTTACTCGCTGGTGACTTGTGTGGGGCTATAGGTACTGCAGGGGTGTCCTGGTTCCAGCTGGGACAGAGTTAGCTCTTCTTTTTAGCAGCTAGAAGAGCTCTGTGTTTTGGTTTTAGTCTGAGACTTGCTCTGAGAAGAACGCTGACAGCGCACTGATGTTTGTAGTTGGCACTGAGGTCTCAAGGACTGTTCGGCTGCCGTGTTCTTGCCAGTGTGCAGGAGCACAACAGGATAGGGGGGAGCATAGCCGGGACGGGGGGGTCCACGACTCTCCTTATGATTTGTACTTAGACTTAGGATTGAGGGCCAAACTGGCTGATGAAGTATTCCATATCAGGCAGCGTCATGCCCAGTATAAAAGTGAGGGTCAGCCGGAACGAAGGGCCTTTGCTTTTCCAGGACTCTCACTCCTGGACTCTCGCAGTGCTCGCTCTCTCTCTCTTGCTGTCTTTTTGGGCCTCTCGCTCGTCCGGCGTTGTGGTGTTGGGACTTACCTGTTTTGGGATCGTCAGTCCAGGACAAGACAGGCTTTAGTCAAGGGGTGGTGAGCAATTACACTGTGCATCGCTTGTTTGTGTATATTGTTGCCATTATACATGTATATATTCATATATTATTACTAGTAGTATTAAATTGTTCTTATCTCAGCCCACGAGTGTCTTTCCCTTTTCCCCTTTAGTTCTCTTCCCCATCCCCTGAGGGTGGGAGAGGCGGAGTGAACGGCTGTGTAGAGTTTAGTTGCCGGCCAGGCTAAATCACGACAAGGAATAGTGATGGACTGTACTGAATGTAAAAGATTAGTGTCAAGGACTAGCATGTAGTCTTCTTGGAACTCCTTTGAAGACCTAATAATTTAAGAATTGTTTCTGACTCTAAAGCCACATCAATATCTAAAATAAAAACCAGTTGTTCTTGTCTTCTATCCTTCTTGTTTCTTTGCGTCATGTTTGTAACAAGTTGTAACTCACGAGATAATTCTGTGACAAACCTCTACTCTTAAGATGTTGCTGATGCTGGACATATATTTTGTGTCTATGTTAAGCTCGTGAGGCTATCATTTTATTTTTTTCTTTTTTTTTGTGATTCCAGCTGTATTCTTTAAATTTTGAAATCTTTGAATATGATGACTTCTTAAAAGCTCAGTCTTATAAATTGTAAATTACTTCTTTACCTCTTTGATTTAAAGAGATGTAAAATCTACTATTTTATTGCTTTAAAGTTTAGAGAATAGCTGTATATAGAAACATGCAGTTGATTTCTTAAAATGGGCTTTGAATGAAGATGTTTTTAATTTTCCTTTAATTCTCAGGCCTCTGCTTGCCTTAAGACTGCCTGGTCATGACTTCAAAAATCCGAGCCCTGGGAATCTCGGGTTTGGAAGGACGTAATTTAGTCCATTATCAAAAATCCATGCCACTGTTTTAGTTTGCATATGTTTCTTCTTCAGCTTCTTTTTTTTTTTGGTCTTACTAATGAGGTAAAATTTTCTGTGTACAGTATATTATAAATTCAGGATTCTGGTCACTGTTTGAGATGCAGAGTTCAAACTTCTTAGCCCCGTAGCAACAGTTATTCTTTGATGTTACACATGGGCTAAAAGGACAGCATTGCCATAAACCTTAAATGCTTATCCTAGGGGAAAGAGGACTGAAACATGTTTGCTATGAAGCCTTAAGCTAACATTAATTGTCAGAGCTTTCAGTGTGCTGCAATGAGGAAACTTGTTCTAAACACTTCTCTTAAAATTAACGCCTATCATCAGAACCTAGGAACATCAAGGAAACACGTGTTGATTCTTGCAACTTGGATATTTCTCTTTTGGAAGTTTTTGATAAACGTATCTTTTGGTTTAATACATTTAATTTGGGTATATTGTGGTGGCAGAGAGGGGTGACTTTTTACTATTTAAGTCTGCATAAAGAATAAGATGGCAATGTGGAAGAAGGTTCACAGTGAAGTATTGAGATGAGTAGTAGGATTCCAAGGGCTACATCTGCGTTGTTTGGTGTCTGTGCTGCTGCAGCTTCTTTAAATAAGAAGGATAAGAAAAGGAGCCCTAGAAATGTTGTATGGTTTGATATCTGATCTTTGCTCCCACAAAGCCAGTGCGAGGAAAAAAAAATACTGCAGCTCAGCTCTGCAGCAAGACTCCTGGTTTGATTAACACTGTAGAACAAGAACAGAAAAGGACATATCACCACCAGATTGTGAACCAGGGCAAAGGTGAATGGCACCTGAGTACTAGTGACCTTGTAAGCATATACACTGGAGAATGAATTAGGAAATACTTACAAATAACATATTCCTTAGGGCTCAGGAAGGTCAGATGTGACATCATTCTTAAACGGTTTTATTCTACCATTCTCTGTAGAATGTAAGACATAAAGGAGTGTGCCTTTACGGTATTGTACATACCGTAGAATGGTTTGGTTTGGAAGAGACCTTAAAGATCATCTAGTTCCAACCGCTTTGCATGGGCAGGAGCGCCTTCCACTAGATCAGGAATGCTTACAGAAACTACAATAGCTTTCCAAAGCGCCCTCTATAACTAAGGAGATCATGTGACTTTGAGGAACATCTGAAAAATGGGGAGCTGAGAAATGTTAATTAGAAAATCAGTAATGAATGGTAGAACCAGTCTAGAATGATCTGTTTCAGAGTTGTTGGGATAGCTGTACTAGTAAACAGTAAAAATCACTAAGGAAGCAGGTGTTAACGGATTAAAAGAAAATAATCTCACGGGTAATATTGACAATGTAAAACTAAATGACATCGCTAGGAAGTGACTTCATTACTTCTCTATGGGAAGTCAAATGAACGGAGAATGTTTTCTGATGTATGACAGTATGAGTAGAGAGTTTTCCTAAGTAAAGAAAACTTCAGTAGAAGCAGAGAATTGAAGGCTGTTAGTGTAGGTAGGTATGTGACTTGCAGTTTACCTGGCCATTGACGAACTTCAATACTGTTGTCTGTAATTGGGTTTGATTCGAAGTATGAAAATTGTTTTTAATAGAAGTATGCTTAGAATATTTGCTGATGATGGGGAGGGAAGTGGACAGCTGATAAATGGTGAGTGTTTTACCAAGGAGAAAGAAGCAGAGTGGGGGATCCTTCCGTTGCAAAACCCATGCAAGCACTTCAGAGGAAGTAAGTGGCATTTTTCTGATTGTAAAAGCATGCATGTGGAGTCATGTGCTCAAGGTCCATCTGCAGGTGATGAAAGGATCAGAGGACCCTGTACCTCTAGTTACCATCACCATTCTGGCCAGCACTGTCTATATATATAGGTAACAGTGGACTTCACCTAAGTACTCTGCTTAGAGCTGTGACCAAGCTCAGGTTTGTGGTGGACAGCTAATCACATGGATGATGATCCTGTGTGCCTCAGATTATTTCAGCGTAGAAAAAGTTAACGATTGTTTACCTTCATGAAAGCTCTGATCAGTTTTTAGGGTTCCTAGGTATTGTAGTAAAATGTTGCAGAATGAAAGAAGATGGACTTCCTCAGGTGCTCTGAAGGAGATTTTGTTGTCATACTGATTTTTTTTTTTCTTTTTTTTCCCTCCTGAGACTCAGATTAGTCTAGGAGCCTGTATGAGAACACTGAAAACGATTAAAAAGCCCTAGTGGTTTCTGGCTACACATGTGTTCGCTCTTGTACCATCTGGTTGACATATTTGTCTTTCAGAAGTCAGTGTATGACCTACTATTAATTCAAAAGCAAGATGGGGTCCAGAACAATGGCAGTGCTGTTGTTCTTCAGTCCCCACAAGAAACATTGGGAAGAATGTTAACTCACACACGCGCACACACCCCCTCCCACCTCCCCCACCCCCAATAGTGATATGCTGCTGTAACAGGGACAGAACTTAAAATAAAATATGAAGTCGCATATGTAATGAAAAGTGGCCTTTAAAGCACAAATCCAATTAGTTTATTTCTGAGTAGTCAAAGAGCAGAATTGCAGTAGGCCTGTGTAAAGAACAGTAGTGTGCTTACCAGGCAGTCAGTGTACTTTTGTGGTTTTTGTAGGACAATTTGTCAGGACAATGGAGAAGTTCAGAACAGATTTCCCAGTTTTCTTTCTCCTGAAAAAGAATCCAAAGCTGTTAGGGTGCTTTATGATTTTAAGCATGTGGCATGCACATTACCCCTACCATTTTAAAAGGGTTTTACTGGCAAAGAAAGTAATACAAATTGTTAGTAGAATTCTCTGCTAAAATCATACTGTGTTACTTTGATAAAAGTACAGAACAAGTGCAGCTTTCACTTGTCAGCTCAGGTGCTTAGGTGACAGAAGATCCTGCCACCTTTTGTGCCTCGTTCTTAGGCAAAGGGAGCTGCTTAAATAATGGTTACCTTAATGTGTAGTGTGAGATCTGGCTGGATTCACCAGAATTCATCTTGAGGCTTTTGTAATTTTCAACCGCTAGAACAACATCTGTCTGGTAAATTTGTCTCTCGCTACGTCAGAGCATCATAGAATAGTCTGGTTTGTTTGGAAGGAGACTCTGGAGATCATCTAATCCAACCTTCTGTTGGAAGCAGAGACATAAGTTGGGCTATCCTATCAAGCCAAGTCTTGAATATTTCCCTTACAGAAGGTTTCA